CAGCCGTCTCGTTTTTTTTTTTTTTTTTTTATTGCGGATTTTTCACTATATCAAAATTTTTAATTTAGTTTTGTGATAAAATACGTATTTTCTAGCCTAAGAAGGAAAAAAAGTCTTCATATATACAAAAATAATATAATTATCGCAAGGAAGGTAACCGCGATAGACCAGCGACCTCAGTGTTCCAGAATTCAACAGCAGTTGGTTTGCAACACTTTTTCTACTTTTGCAGGAATTAAACTGTGAGTTTATGGAATGCAGCGCCGCCACTGGAGAAAACGTGATTCAGTCTCAAACTGTTGCCAGGTAAAAAAAGAAGAAAAAAGTTTGATTTCTCTCCTCCTGCAGCTGCGGCTGTTGTTGCAGGAGCCGTCAGCTGACCTTCCTGTTCCTCTGTTGTGTTATCGCAGGATGCTGCAACTAAAGGTTGACACAAGAGAGGAAGCTCTGGTGTTACACAAAGACCCCCCCCAGAAGAAGAGGTCAGGATGCTGCTGAGCAGAGAAATCTGCCGTCACGGGGGTGAAACGTTAGAAAAGCCGGACGGAATCGTAAAATCTGAGCCGACACGTGTCACATGACGACGTCTGGACCATTGTTTTTTTATTTACTCAGTATTTGTAAGTCATATCCCCAGACCAGACCTGGGCAAACTAAGGCCCGAGGGCCAGAAAGGGCCCACTGGGCTTTCTAATCCGGTCCGTCAAACACTGTTACGAGGTCTGGTGAAGACTGACACCAATCCTCCTTTTTTCATGCTAATACGAATCCACTGTAATCTGTTGATACCACTAGATGGCAGCAGGTATTAGCTATGCCAAACTATCTTTGAAATTTCAAGTTTTTTTAATACTTTTTTGCCCCATTTTCCGCGAAAAACAAAACTCAGACCCGCCTCCAGATACATTTTCAATCTCTGACGGCTAGCCAATCAAGTACGAGCCCAGTTAGCTGCGATGCGGGTGAATCACCTCCCGCCCCCAGACCTCACCCACCCCCCGTTAAATGTTATATCACTTTGACATTTCCATTTCCGACACATGGTTTTAGTTCAAACGTGTCGACAGACTGAAATGATTCAGATCAGATTCCTCTGGTTGAAATGACTCAAAGGACTCGGAAACCAAGTTAACGTCTGTATCTCTGCTAAGATACGCAGTAAATCCAACGTAACGATGTGTCGCGACAAATCAATACAAATGTGTGAAAATTTGTATGGGTTGAAATAAAGAAGATTATTTTATATTTGTCACTAGTTAAAAGAATGTGATGAACTTTGAATGAAAAGTTAAATATTTCTTAGTAGAAAATACTATAATATATTGGGGTTTTTTTTCCACATGTCTTTGTTGTTGCTGCCAAAACCTTGCAATAAAAAATATAAAAATGTGTTCAAAAAAATATTCTCTTTCTTTCAACATGAAGGTAAAATACTGTTTTACAGAATAATAAAAATGATTTTGTGTTCTGTGTCGTTCATGTCAAAAACTTGTGAACGTTCTGTGTTCTGTGTTCTCCGACTGACAAAGACAACACGTTCTCAGATGACCAGAAGATGAAGGGACAACAAATGGAACTGCACTGGAATAACAACTAAACTAACAACTAAAGTGTCTGTTAACCTGGTCACTAAAACCATCCTGTCCTGGTCACTAAAGTCCAGAACAATCAACGTTAACAAAAACAACACATTCCAGTCTTTAAATTCCAACAAAAACACTGCAGAACTTCACTCAAAAATAAAAGATACTGAAGCGTAGGATGTGGCACCATCTAGCGGTAAAGTTGAAAGATGTCCAATATTCCTCTACTAATTTCTGTAAGAATTACAGGTTGAGAATGAATTTGTGGCATTACGATATAAACACACCTATTTTAGAAGATTAGTTCAGTTCTAAAAGGTTGAATTTATTTCATATTTCAGTTCTGCTCCACAAAACTGAAACATGAAACATCACTTTTGAAACCATTCGGACCAGAACTTTCTACAAAGACCCAACTTTACAGTCTGTCACATAAAAAGCACTTTAATTTAGTGAGTTTAAGTTATAAATATTTACAGTTAATAATTAGGGTCATGACCTTCATCATTCACCTCCTGCTGCCACTGTTATCTCACTGCTTCCATGTCGTTGACTCACAGTTTCTCTCTTCTCTTCCACTGACCGGAAATCGTTCTTTTTCATCGGCGACTGATTCCGTTTGCTCTTCTTCTCCAGAGCGCGGTATTCTTGGATGGCAGACCTGACGTCAGAGCCGGTCCAGCGCTGCCGTACCAGGGCGTGCCTCAGGGTGAAGGCTCCGTCCCTGGTGCGTCTCACACCCGTGCACGCTGCCGTGCTGCGCAGCTCCAGTCCGATCTCGTGCACGACTCTGCGCAGATATTTCTGCGTTTCATTTATGCACTGCACCTCTGTTGACACACAGGGGGAGCAGGTGAGTAAATAAAGAGGTGTTTTTTTTTTTTAAATAGTGCAGCTCAGGGTTTGTCTTTACCTAAGGTGAAGTTTGGAGGTTGGAAGTCGATGCAGCGCAGACCAGTTAGAATCGGCGCCGACTTCCCCTCTGGGCCCAGTAAACCCAGTGCAGCCAGTTCATAGGCTTCCTGTGAGCGCAGGTCTACTTTTGAATAGCTGTAAAATAAAACAAAACAAATACTATCAAATACCTGCCTTTCTGAAGTATTACTAAACATTATTCTTTCTCAATAACTCATGCAAACACGACAGTATTTTATGACAGAAGGACAGAAAAAAATAAATATAATAATGATAATAATAATATATACGTTAACAAAGCCTTCTGATTGGCTCCTTGAAGCATCGCCAGGACACTGTTCAGTTTGTCCAGTGTGATGTGATCTGTTCAACACAAACATTATTTTCATTATCAGGACTAAAAAAAACATTTTGTTGTATTTTCAGTAGTAATAGGTTTTTTTTCTTCTCAAATTAAAAAACGAGGAGCA